ATCTTATATAAGATATTATCTCATCTATTCTTATATTATCTCATCTTATCTTATCTTATATTATCTCATCTTATCTTATTAACTCGATAATCAGCCATCCACATTTTCCCACTCACACACATTCTCGAGAATCCATAAAAATTTAGAAAAGAGAGAATGGTTCTAAACAATTAGTGTGTACTGATTTTTAGAGCTTGAGATCCATACTCATAAACAAAACCGATAGTTAGAATGGCTATAAAAAAGAGACCTACGATTAGACCATAGATCGATACTATACTCATACAAACCGCAATAGGGTAAAAAATGGCAAGCTCAAGATCAAAGATTAGAAATAGAATAGCTACAATATAAAAGGCAATACTAAAAGTATTTCTAGGACTATGTACATTATTAAAACCACATTCATATACAGAGATCTTTTCAGGGTAGGGACTACTTGGTGCTAGTAGAATATTTAGAAGAAGGAGAATTATTACTAGAAACAGAACAAAAAAAATGAGAACTGTTATTGTCATATTAGATAGTGAATTGAGCTAGTTCAATGCTATTTATTAGAAGTTCTGAGTCTAGTATAAAAAGAGTTAGAAAAGCAGTACAAGTGGCAATTGAGAAAGCATGAAGAGGACTTATATTGCTATTGCTGTTGCTATTGCTATTGCTACTGCTATTAGCCCCACCCTGAGACGCCCTAGTATCATTGTTTGGCTCGTCAAACATTATAATCTTAATTATCTTTAGATAGTATGAAGCACTAATTACTGAACTCATAATTGCAATTATAAAAATCACATAGGCTCCCTCCTCTACTGATGATCATAGCACATTCATCTTCGCTATAAATCCTACTAGTGGCGGTAGACCACTTATTGAAAATAGACTTATTACTATACTAAATGTAATTATACTATACCTGCTAAAACTTTGTCTCATATCTGATATATAATTTACCATTGACCTATTCGTTTTAGCCTCATAAGCTATAATACATATTCAAATGAGAATGGTTGATAGACTATATTGAACTATGTAAAATATCAGAGCATTATTACTTGATTCTGTCCCTAGACTTAGACATAGTACTATAAACCCTACATGACTAATCGTACTAAATGCCAGAAGTCTTCTTAGTTGTGTTTGAACTAGACCTGTTACTGTCCCTAGAATTATTGATGTTATTGCCACTACTAGTAGTACATACATCACCTTCGTATTTATAAACTCCTGAGTTAGCGTATACAGTGCTGTCATAATCGAAATCTTCGGAATCGTTATCAGCATTATCGTTACTACTGTCGGAGTATTCTGATATACATCTGGAGCTCAATTATGAAATGGTGCCGCCGATACCTTGAATATATATCCACAATAAATGAACATTAGACCTAGACTCGCATATGATCAAGGCTCCGTTGATGTACTTGATATCCAATTACTCATATTCGCTAGTGATGTACTCCCTGTACATGTATATATCATCCCTGCACCTAGTAGAATAAATGCACTACTTCAAGCCCCTAGTATAAAATACTTTAGTGATGCCTGTACTGACCTTAGTGAATCTTTCGATAGTGCTGCTATGATATACAGCGCAAACGATTGCAGCTCCGTCGCTAGATAAATCGAAATTAGGTTATAACTTGATAGTATTATACTTGCCCCTATTACACTGAATATTACTACTAGTGAATACTCCTTTGGCATCGTACTCGGGCTCCCATCCCTCCACCCATTTCGAAGAAATCCCGTCCCGTACTGATTTGGCTGAGATGTTCTTATCGCTGTCGGAGAGGTGGTGCTGCTTGTGCTGCTGCTAAAACGGCTATTCCGTAGATTCTTATTATTGGAATTCGGATGAAACGTTATTAGACATAGACCACCTACCAGAAATAGTAGTACCTCCATAAATAGTGTCCTATTTGATTGAAATACTAGACTACAATATATACTTATTTCCTCTACCCCTATATTTATTATCTCTATCGTTAGCAGTCCACTCATTATAAATATTATTACTGCTAGTCTCGTATAATGAAAAGCATTAACAGTGTTAGAACATAGCGGTATAGCTATACAAAATGTAATAATCCCTAGTAGCAGCATTTACTTTCAGTACCTATTAACTAACTTACAAGTAGCAGGAATCGAACCCGCATTTTCAAATTGGAAGTTTGACATATTAACCATTATACGATACTCGCTCACACATCCTACCTATTTTCCACACACACACTCTCACAGAAGGAAGAGATCCTGCCTATTTCACACCACACCACATACCCTTCGATCTCCGATTAAACCTATTTATCGAAGATTTAATCCTACACCAACTCAACCACTACACTTACTGGTACGTCCCCCCCTACACACGGACTCTGTAAAGAGTGTGCGTGTGGAGGGGACTGGTTGAGTCGAGTTTATATAAAATGGGGGAGATTTAGGGTAGGACTCTGGTGTGGAGGGGGACTTCTCTCAGAATCACTATGATTTTCACCACACGACTTTTACACCACATACCATTCGAGAGGAATTGCTAACCACCTTGATCCATTACCATCCCGTTATGCTTTACCCACGTTTTACAGGATTCGAACCTATGTTTGGTCGGCCGAAACGACTTGTTCTACCATTAAACTAAAAACGCAGCGTTCTCGAGCTACTACGAATCATGCCGCACTCGCTTACTATTCTACTCACTCTAGTCCCTGGCGCACAAGTACAACACACACAATCGAAGGTTGTACGTGTTTAGTTGGACTAAACCAAAAGCTGACTATCTTCCTCCTCAAACCACACAATCTACGAGTCCCTTCCACAAAAAAATATCCAGATGGCCTAATTGTTTGAGTATGGCTTATTGTGTATTTAAGCGATCTTACGAATAGTGAGACTTGAACTCACAAGCCTTAAAAGGCACGGCTACCTAAAAACCGCATGTCTACCATTTCATCACATTCGCTTTTATCTCTGCTTTGTTCGTCCCTGTGTGTGCGGAGGGGACTTATGCTATACTGTTTTACAACCTGGGCTCACACGTGGCTACGACACGCCAGGCTTTATTTAACTGATAGGAATCGAACCTATAACCAGATAATTAAAAGTTATCCACTCTACCTTTGAGTTACAGTTAATTTAGTATTAACCTGGGCTTGAGGTTTCTTTCAGTTTCTTTGTTTCTTTTCATTATATTAACTATTAAAAACAGCAGCAGGAAGGACATGGTTAGGATCTTGACCCCGCATTTATAACATTTATACCATGGCTCACCATACTCTCAAACATAGTACACAACGCATAAGCACCACTAATAACGCACATAAGGGGGTTTACATTGTTATTATTATAATTATGTGTATAGAATAAATTTGTTGGATGGAGGAAAGATATTATGAGAGCAAAGACCTCGTTAGGACTTTAGCAATATAAATTTATAACGATTTTTTATAGACTCTATCCTCATATCGTTTGATCATATAAATAGTTGTTCCTATCTTTATAGCTGCCCGTCTCATTGATCGTTCTGTTTGTACACCAAGCTCGGGTCTCATCAGATCGATTCAACTAGTTGCATAGCATGGCTTATTAGAAGTTTTTCTACTTAGAGCTCATTGTCTTAGTTTTTCAACATCCTCAGGTGTACGTTTCTTTCCATGGTTTGAACCCTTCTGCCTTTTCGATATATTAGCTCGTATCTCGGCAGTTCAAGAGCTCTTACCCTGTATCCTTTGTGAGATTAGGGCTCTCGCTTCGGGGGTGTGTTTATACCCCTGACTTGAACCGGCAATCATTAGTTGATTATACTCTGGTTTAAGTCTCTCGATTCAATTTTGCTCTGCTGTTAGAATAGCTGATTTACTAGAATCTGTATATTCAGCAATATGTAGAATGAAACTTTACCATACTTGTTAATAGCTCTAATGATCGGATCATTCTTTTTATCCGACCAATATCAGGACTGCATATAATCCATAACTCTCGGCCTTAGATTCACAGCACTACCTACATAAAGCTTACCGTTCACACTATTTTCTCAAACATAGATACCCGATTTATAGTTACTGTTTTAAAAGCTCCATCATTTTTATTTGTATGCACATTTTCAAAAGAATGCAG